TGTGTGTGTGTGTGTGTGTGTGTGTGTGTGTGTGTGTGTGTGTGTGTGTGTATGTGTACACACTCACACACAAGTTAACCAAGCTAAAAATTATTTTCATGTTATAATAAAATATTGTTCACTTGTATTTCTACAACATGTCTATTAATTCCTTAAACCTGAGTGGACGTTACCAGTGTCCGGTTGAAAATCCTGATTTACCCATTACACGATGACAATGCCCAATAACATTTATGTCACTCTGGCTGAAAACTTATCCAAACCACCTATTATAAATAGACTGGAAATTTTATAAGGTATAGTGATAATTATTAGGACCTATAAAAATAATTCCGGCAGAATGTGCAAATAATTATGGGTGTTTAAAGAGTTAACATATCAACTGACATATCCTGCATTTATTTGCTCTAATTACAAAGACACTGAAAAATTATTAGACTAAAAATCATTTATTCAGAATTTTAAACTGGAATTAAGAATGCCCTGTTCTGATCTGCATGTAACATTAAATAGAACCATAACATGAAGCAAACCCCCCAATTCACTTCTCATTTTAACCAGAGAAATGTTATCTTTTTTGGTGTATAGTTCATCACTTAATGTTGAAAGATGTAGAATGAAAATAAACAAGTCAAATTTACCAAAGAACAGCATGTGCCCAGCTTCATTAGAAAGTAATGAAAATACAAAACTTTAGTAAGTTATGTAAGGACAAAGAAATATGTCATAATCAATACAGTATAATTGCAACATTAGCTACCATTAATTATAAACTGTGAAGAATACAATGATATAAATACATAAGTAAAAACAATACCTGTACTTCTTCCTTAGGTTTTTCTTTCACAGACTTTGTGGAAAGTTCCGACATTGCAGTTCGCAAAGCATCAGCAACTGAAATGGAACAGCTGAAATGCTTGATTTCTTGAACAAATAATGTGTTCTATTCTAAATTATATGTCTCAGACACACTAAATACAATTAATGATAAACGCGTCTCCTAATGTTCTTTCAGAAAACAAGTAGATACCAAAAAATAGTCTCTTAAAAACCAATAATTTTATACAATATGCACATTATTTGTTTAACCCAATTAGTCAAATATCTAAACTTATTCTTCAATATCTGTAATTAGTAAACAAGTTATAAAATTATACTATCTTTTACTGCTACGCTATCTTCTCACATGCTGACAATGTTGAATCACAGTAATGAGTAAACACCACCCATATCCAAGATCCCACCTATTAAATGGTTCCAAGCAAAATGTACCCTCCTTTACTTCTAATTCTCTCTTTCTTTCAATATACGTATATATACACGCAATATATATATATATATATGTGGGTGTGTATGTGCAGGTAGTTGCGTGTGTAACATGACAAAACTATCCCGTACGCAGAAGCTCTACTCATCTGAACTACTTGCACTTTTTGGTAGTTTTCCAGATACTGTATACGTCAACCAAAATACTCTACACAGATTACCACAGAACTCTGTTTTTTTTAAAAAAAAAGACCTGTTTACAAGAGTTGTATGATGAAAACACTATAAAAACACAATTTTCTGCATGTGCCATGCATTGCCAAAATATTTTCATCCTCACTACTTCTAATTTCAGCTTGGCCAAAATTCCACATCCTCTATTTTAAGGTGGGGGGGAGAATTTCTCAAAGAGTCTCTGTTATTATCATATGAAACAGACTTCGTTGCTCGATACGTCTCTAGAAATTATCTGAATAAAGTTTTTAAGTTTCAATAAGATAGAGAAATTGCTGAAAGCACAGGAGAAATACCTACAAATAGCAGTGATACTAGAAATGTGTACTATCAAAATTAAAGAAATGCTGATCACGAATCTTTCGTAAAGCACTGAACCAACTGAAGAACAATTGATGTGAAACAACGAATACAAATGCTCCTCCAATTGTACATTAAAACATTATAAATTAAACAATTAACTCTAATTGTTAAAAAATAACAAACCAAAAAAAATTAGGTTGTAAGTACAATTATATAATTATGGTATCAGAATTTTTGTTTAAGAGCATATCAAACAAAGAGCCCTATGTATCTTTTTCAATAAAGCACAAACAAAACATAAGATTACATTGGCATTAAACTAATCAAAAATATACATAGCAAGTAGATCGTTCAATGAACACTAAAAATACATGAAAAAATATGGTTCTTGGCTACCAGTCTTCTTGACAGATGGTGTTAATTAAAATTTACTTAATGAAAATATCAGACAAAATTCTCTTTCAAATACTGACAATTTCAAATGAGAAAAACATAAGTTAAAGACTACTGCATACCTTTGTCAACTTCTTGAGCATGAAGAAAATAAAAGTTATTAAAATAACTTTATTGCCCATTTTTATCTGAAAGACTTATTAAGCTTAAAAATACCTAAACTCTTAAGAAACAAAGAGCTTTATGGTATAAGTAGAAAGACAATTCAAGCAAAAAATAATTAAATAAACTAACATTTAATAATATAAGTAATAATTTAATAATATAAGTAAATAATTAACTTATAAATCCTCTTTAGTAAAATAAAATGTTAGAAAAAATGTTTCAATTGACATTTTGTGAAATCTAATAGGACCAATAATTTACAACATAAATAAAAAAACAGCCATGGTTCAAATGTGTAACTTAAACACATGCTTCTTACAAAAATAAATTACTAAAAATTTGTACCTTTATCTGTAATGGTTTTTTTATTGTGCATCAACACTGAATAAAACTTAGCAAGTTATTAACTTATGAAATTTTTTTTTATAGCTATTGATTTACAAAAAGTGACAAACTTCTTTTTTCATATGTCTGTATAAATAAAATATTTCCAAAAAACCATTACAAATAATGAATTGGCCTACTTTGATAAAAGAATTAAAATTCAAAACATATATAACCTTTTTCTTTCCCATAATCCTCTAAGGTTTGTTTTTCGCTTCCAGTTTCTTCCGACTGCGTTGCATCAACATGACTTTTTTCCTGTTTGTCAGTGGGAATTTCTGCTTCTGTTTCATTCTTCTTTAGTACAAACTGGAACAGAGAATTAATTTATGCAAAACTGAAAACAAAACCTAACTCTAAACCTAATGAATATTAAAAAATCTATGCAGAATAACAATGAAAAAATATAACTGCAAAGCAACTGTGTGTGTGTGTGTGTGTGTGTGTGTGCATATATATATATATATATATGGCAATTGTTGTGTAAACTCAAATTATGTAATTATTTTTGGGGAGGGAATCAGCTTTGAATGCAATCTCTTCCCCGATTTAATGATCTACACATAACAACTTACGTATATTAAAATGCACAAGACAATTAAGAGTTAATTGGAATTCAAAATATTTTAGGAATGACAAGTAAATCCACAGTTATAAAATAACTCCTGTATTAAAATGAGGTTAGCTACGATTCTAGATTTTTTGAAAATAAACACATCTTTAAATTATCTGGTTCTCTAAACTGAGCATACTTTTTTTTTTTTACTGGAAAACTTACTCAAGTCCCATAAAATATGGTGTTAAAATAAATAATATAGGGTTAAAAATCATGGACTAAATTCTAATTTGTTGAGATAAAATAAAAACTGATGAAAAATTACACTTCACAAACTTATCCAGTTGAAGCTGTAACAGATGGTGTCAAGCAATTTGCTAATATAAATAGCATCTCAACCACCACTACTATATCTGTCTGTCTCAGCTGGCCTGAAAAGCCCTGGTATTGGGTAAAAGGCCTTGTCAGCACTGGATATAGCAGATATAATGTGGTTGACAACTAGACAAATTATTATACACACACACACACACACACACTTTACTTTCTCTCCAAAGTTTTTATTAATTTTTTCTGACACCATGACAGATATGCAGTATATGACCCAGAAGTTTGGATTATTTTAGGATAATTTTCCACCACATTCATGTAAAATTCACATTGCAATAAATTTTTCAATGTCAGATGCAGATCACATTTAAAAAATATCCATCAGTAGAATGCCTGTTCCCTTCACCACTAGCTTTTGGTTTAATTTGGTGCGTTGATAAAGTAGTAATCTGTAAAGTATAATTGAAATTGGTAGGGGGAAGAGTATACCAAAAGTAACAATATTAAATTTTGCATCTCTCATTATATGCAATTTATATTAACTTATGCAAAACTGATAAAATTAAATGTTTAAAAAATAACTGAATGCCATTAAATCAGTTTTTTCTCATGTATTGAACACAACCTAAAAATAGACAAACAGAAAACTTGTCAGCTTTAATTAGCTTATAGTGTATAAAGCACACCCCGTTAATCTTTTACCCAAGCAATAGCAACCACTTTCATGGCACCTGTGTAAATGGTAACACGCAGATTGACTATTCACGAGATTCATTACCAGGACAGAATAATAGAAAAACCAACATCAAAAGAACATATAGATTAGAATAAGTGATTTATTGAGGAAAACGTTAAGTCTTATACTTACTAACCTTGAAGAAAATATAAAAAAAGAATGCTGCAACTCCCAACACAAATGGTGCAATAGCTGCCATTGCTCTCCTGAATAAGACTGCTTAGAATAACTCCTGCAAGTGAAGAAAAAAAAAAAGGTTTAAAAAGCTAAAAATATATCAAATTACTTCTATTTTTTTGCCTAATGATTTTTGAGCAATCAGGGAAAAAAAGAGATTAATTAAAGGTGTGTAAATTAACAGTCAAAATTACTAACATTTATTTAACATCTGTGAAGCCTTTTACTTCTTACACCACATTCTACTACTTTATTTTCATAGTTGAAACACAGATCATGTTTAATTTTTTTTATGAAGTGAATTGAGGTTATGTATATTTTTAAGTACTGTAAACTTATCTTTTAAATAATAAAAAATTGATACCTTTCATACCATATATCTAATCTAAAAAACATATATTAAAGAAACAAAAAACAATTTCCCTTTTTGTATCTCCATGTAATTTGAGAAAACCTGTACTTAAAGAGCTAATGTTAATGGTATAAAATTTCCTTCGATACATGTACTTGATATTTAGAATAATTACA